GAACCCGGGTTTCTAAAACCGGTGATCAGAAATGTTCACACAATCTTTTTTAAAATATTCCCCAGGTATCATTACCTGGGCAATTACTTTCATACGTTACGTACGTATGTTATTATTTAATATGTATTTCAAAAAGCTTTGGAATGCCTGACAGCTTAGAAATGTTTCTTCGGCAGCGTCTGATTTTTTTTTTAGCAGAGAAATAATGTAAGATTCCTTTCACTTGAGGGGAAATATCGAAGTTTCCAGAGATAAGTTAAAGAGTTTAAGGAGAGGTTTTCATAAGGCCTCGGCCTGGTACTCCATCGGAGTTTGGCGAATCAATGGGTTTAACCTGAAAAAGATCTGATAAAAATCCACTTTCGAAAAGATTGACAAAAAATAAGGTTGGCTGAAGGCTACGCCGGAATGGGGAAATGTTTGAACAAACAAACAAAAAAAAATCGGCAATTGCCTGATCGGTCAGTTTTCAAACGAAAGCAGCGAAGGAAAAGTTACAGTTTACATTTAGTGTTTACAAAGTTTTAAGAGCAAACTGAATCCGGCAGCGGAAAATATAAGTTTTCTAACAATTAGCGTTATGCACTGTGAAATTTAACCGAGCTACCAATTATCTTAAAAAATCTACACCATTCCATGTTTTTTTCATATTTTATTGAAAGGCGGTGTTTAGTATTTTTAGTATTTACGTTGTAAACCCAGGAGGATTTTTTTAAGCGGACGGATATTGTATTAAGGGGAGAGTAAGGTCAAATCATGCGAAAAAAGCCATGTTTTTGTGATTTTTTTCCTGACGACACAGTTAAAATTTATTTATTCAACCAACGGTATATTAAAGTATGACATTAGAAGAATGTTTTATCAAATTTTTACAAAAAAATATTTAAAAATATGGCAATGGTAGCAATTGTCCGGACGTGTCGCCAAAAAAAGAATTGAATTGCGGTGCCCCTCATAACTCGTTGCTGGATCATTTGTAATCAAATGAAAGTTCATTCGTTAGATAATAGTTCGCCCCAGGTAACGCTGTGAAGGTTTTTTGAAAATTGCAATTTTTTAATTTTTTCGAAGACTTTGAAGTGAAAAACTCAATTTTTTGGGAAAAAAATCGGTTAATTTGTCATTGCCAAATCAAAATTATGAACAACAAAAAAAAAAAACTCGACAGCGTTACCTCGTAAAATATGTACAGAAATGGTGTTTAAAATTTCAAAAGGATCGGTGCAGTAGTTTTGATGTTATGAGGGGCACCGACTTTGAAAACGTGAGTTGTGGGAAAAACGCTTTAAAGTTTTAAACACAAAAAAATCCAGTGTAAAAAGTTTTTGAGCACATTCGTCAATAACTAATAACTTCGTCAATTTTGCTTTAATTGACTTGAAATTTTGACACAATGTTCTTCAAATATTATGCATTCAATTTAAAAAATAAAAAAATTAATACATTACCCTCCCCTTAAATAATATTAAATAAGACATAACTTTTATTTAAAGTATGGCACAATACTCCTAAGGTCACATTAAATCGGTCAATTAAATATATTAATTGGGTTATTAAGTTACTGAACATCAGCCTTACGGAAGTAGGGAATCTTATTTGCCACACAGGGAAACTTGCGATCGATACAAGAAATGGATTCAATTAAAATTACAAGCGTGGGGCAATATGGATCCTCAATATTGAGTTTTCTGACATGAGTTTCAATATTTGATCATGTGAGTTCGCGTCAATTATCACTGTCGGACATAAGATTAGAAACCGACTGAAAAGCAGACAAATGATGCCAGTACTTGGGCGGTTTGAGAGACGGACAGGTGAAATACAAGAACAGGTAATGAAAATCAATTCAGCCGACAATATTACTTTAACGCGGATACATTTGTAATCACCAAACTCTGGTAACTTTACGTCTTCAGAAGCGAAATTTAAGTCGGAAGATATTAGGACTCCTGCTCCTGTTAGCAGAGGTCGCTTACGTCTAAAAGTGGTGTTTCTACCTGGAAAAACTTCGGAGCTAAGGACCTTCGGCTTTAACCAGATTTCGGTAAAGACTATGACTATGGGATCCAAAAGAAAGACTATCAAAACAGAGTCTGATAGAATCGATTGGTTGTGAAATCAGATTTTGACTCCAAGAGGCTCAGAGTTCTTTTCTTCACCACACTCGGCTGGGGAATGTGTGGTACGAATATTTCCTCTGGCCAGAAACCAGGCCAACATAGCGTCGAAAACATCGGCACAGGCACACGTATCGTATTTACAATATTTACAATTCCTAATGTCTTCTACTCTTATAACGACCTGGTTTTGGCTTTAATATAAGCCGAGATGTATATCTCAGAGGTATCTCATAGGAGAGATACCATGTTTTTACTTGGCCGGCATACTATTATTTAATTTTAAGTAAATATGTAATTATATTTCTCTGAAGCCAATTTGAGATGCCGCTTTGTTCCAAATTTTCCTCCGTTTATAAATACTCGAGCAGAGTAACTACCCGCCTTGTGTGGATGGAGTCGTTATCTTCATGATAAGTCCAGCTATGTCAATAAATGTTGCTGGAAAACTCAATAAGTTTAGAGGCCAATACTTTAACATACATAGTGGCACTCATGCGAATCGATACGAGTCATATACATATACATAGGTGTCTTTAACAAGTATGCAAAACTTTGATCATAGGTAAGGATTAAAAGAGGTTGTAGCAAAATCCGGCCCATACCATCGAGGGCTTGTAGCAGGACCTTCGTTCCTGGCAAAAGTCTCGCCAATATTTTTTGCAGCTCACGTCGTCTAAATAATCTAATCTTTTTCGTCTAATACCCTTCGGTCACTTTATGTACTATATATTTGTATTTGATGAATTTATCTTAAGGGGTTATATACCTTTTTGAGCGAAAAATTGAGGGAACTTTGGATTTTTATTTCGTGTGTGTAGCAATTATTTTATGACACTGAAGTTATTTTTTATTGAAAGTACATGTTTTTATTGAAACAATAAGCGTTTGTTCTTAAAAAAATATAAACAATTTACAAAGTTATGGCAATTCTCTCGGAACCCTTTTTTTTTTTATAGCGGCTTGCGGTGACCACGATAGCAGTCCAGCCGGTCAACCAAAATCCAAAAACCAAAAATTTTTTATTAGTATAATATTATATCCAGTTCGTGAACGAACAGCATACAGTAAACATTTTTCCAAAAAATTGATGTTTTCAGTTCTAAAAATTTTATTAAAAAATTTTTATCTGCGAAATAAAAATGGACGCAAAAAAACTGAATCGTTCACGAACTCGGCACAATCATTACGAATAATTTAAAAAAAAATTGAAGAAGATCGATCAAATAGTTTTTGTGTAATCGTGGTCACGGCGAAGGCACTTTTGGAAAAACACGACTTTGAGATAATCGCATTCAAAGTAGCTTGACGCTGTCCGCAGCCGTGACGAACCCCGCCTCAAAACGCTGCTTTCCTATCGAACTATTATTCGGATCTCCATAAAACTTTGGGAAAATATTCTCTAGGAGATATACTTTAGGATTCAGCAAAACAAAATTTTTCGTTTTTTTTAAGAAAAAAAAGGTATATAACCCCTTAATGATGAATTTTCCAAATGCGCTTCATCGAATAATCCACTGCTAGATGTCGGTCACGAACCACTTCCTTAGTGTCAGGAAAATTCCTGTTTTAAAAGGATCAGCATTGAGTCCCGACCTGAACCCGATCGAGCATCTTTTTGACGATCCTCTCTGCCGAGATTTTTTCCGAATCAAAAGCGAAAAGAACGTAGTTTTCACTGCGTTTCATACTTTTGACTAAAATTATAATACCCTCTACAAGGGTATAACAAGAAAGGAAAGTTTAATTTGGAAGAGGCCGAAATTGATAAACCTTCGGATTTATCGCCAATATCTGCAAAGTTGGCCGATCCTTATGAAATTGGTCGATTCTGCAGATCAGTTGCCCAATAACAGAATCTTTAGGAAGTCCCAACCTTCTTCAACCAATAGTTTATTTATATGCAAGGTATAGGATATTGTCGAATCAATTGGCCAAGCGAAAAATCCAAAGAAAATGCAACTCTCTTACTCTAAAACAGTGGGGGGCAAAACGCACAAATGTTAAAAATTTGTATGCATAGCAAAAAAAAGAATGAGAGCATTCACTGAGCGAAAAAACGAAGTTTTTTATTACATTTTTCGTTAATTGAAAAGGTTGAATGGGCACTAAAATAGTGCATTTTATATTAAAGTAAGCTTTTCCAGTTACCAGTTCTTAAACAATGAAAAACTACGCTTCCCTATGGAAGCGTTTTCCCTATTTTCTATGGAGAAAATTTTGTACGAACGCAATTTTTGAGAAATTTCCCAATTTTTCAGTAAAAAATTGTTTTTTAAATGGGCTTTTAAGTGATGCAAAATTGAAGCAAATGAGAGAGCTTCTAAAAAAATTTGGTAGTGCTGTCAGTGGGCGGCACCGCTGCGGCAGAATTTCCGACTCTGCACGCGTGCTATGTAAAATGAGAGCAAACTCTCTCTCACAAACCCCCACTGCTCTAAAGTAATAAATATCACTGTGCTACTGGTACTATTTTTTCACAGCTGTACATGTCTAGATCTCCTGCAATAATCAGCCGATTCCAGTTATAAATTAACTATAAAAATAGTTTGGCAACAAACATTTCTCAAAATACCTTCCTGCACTGACGCTGCAGAAATATGCGACGTTTGGGGCGAGATTATCCTTATTATAATCTTATTATTTCAATTATACAAATAAACTTGACCAGCGCTTCTATCATAGGAGTCTATCATAGAAAAAAACTTATCTAACTCATATTCTCTAAGATCAACGCATTCATACGAACAGACAGTCAGAGGGACATGGCTATATCGAGCTCTACAAGTACCGCGTATAAAAATTGTATATTTATTCTAAAAAAAAAATAAAAATCATTTTGTCTGTGGGTTTTAATTATTTAACTTGTATTCCTATACTTACTGAAGCATAGCCTTTGTCTTAATACTGGCATCCCCTGGCTGGAAGTGTTTAAACTCTTCTACCTCCTTTTCCAGGGTCAACATTTGCTTCTGCAGTTTATCGCGCAATCCAGGTAATGTATCGCGTATATGATTAGTCAATTGCTGGTTCAGGACTCTTTGCAAGTAAGGAGTACCAAGGCGGTCGGCCATGTGACGGTATGATGGGTGACTTAAAAAAAATTTGCGTTCAGCGGCCAAGGCCTGATGAATGTCTTTGCGTCCCTCTATATCCTTTTGTGACCGATTTACTACACCAATGTATCCGCGCCGTAAAGGCAGTAACTTGTTCTCTAGGATATCTCGAGCATCAGTTCCTTCGTCCATGAGATCTAGTTTTGTAATGACTCCGATGGTACGCACTCCTTGAGGATCCACCTCCTTTGCTAGTTTAAGCGCATCCGAATTAGCTAAATCCGTATTTGCAGGTGTAACGGCAAGTATTAAACATGTTTCTTTTCGAATAAACTGGAATATCATTTGCTTTATTTGTTGCTCAATATCTGCAGGTTGATCACCAATTGCCACTTTAGTGAGGCCAGGTAAATCTATCAATGTTAAATTAAGAACATGAGGGGAGTAAACGCGCAAATTTATCGGAATGTTAGATATGCCTTTATTACTACCAGTCACGCGATCTGTTTCATCCTCTATTTCCTTTCGAATCTCATCAAAGCTGGAAAACTTTTTACCCTTGCAATGCAAAAATTCTCCGTATTCTAATCATAAAAAAAAATTTTAATTAAAATCATAAGAAACACAATTTATAGCTAACTTACCAGTCACTCCATTAATCAGTTGCAAAATGAGTGGTCTACGGGTGACAATACCAGAACCACGAGGCAAGAAATCTCTGCGAAGATAAACACATAATTCTATATGATTAAAATGAAAATTAACAGATACAGAAATCAATTAACAGATACAGAAAGATTTGGCCGGAATCTTTAAATATTAAAATGGCAATTTTTTTTTCGCGGTCTTTCAGAATTTTGGAAATGACTTGTGCATCAATTAGAGCATCAGCAGCATTCCTGCATTCATCATAAAGTTTTGAGGCCCAGACGACCGAGCCGCGCTCCGAGTATTTACCGAGTATTTATTAAGCTATGTGTAAATTTATTAAGCTAAGAGGATTTAGTAAGGAAATTTAAAATTCTATATTTTAAATTTGAAGGGCAGGAAAGTGATGTTATAGAGTAGAGACCATTGTAGTTCGAACATAAGACCCTAAAAGGGTCGTGATGTGCATATGTCGACCTCAAATGGCTAAGGAATAGAGAATTCAAGTTTCTAGTCCTTCTATTGAGAATGTTAAAATTTAAGCGTGTTAGTAAATGCTGGCTATCTATATCCCCATTAATTAGGTTATGTAGAAAAACTACACCGAGCATTATCCTACGATTTGTTAAGTGAGGTAAGTTAATTATTAGGAGTCTGCTACTATAAGATGGAGGATGAAGATTTGCATCCCTCTAAAAGAAAATGTTAAGAAATTCTTTTGTACGGATTCTATACGGTCCTGATGTACTCCATATTGGGGACTCCAGACACATGATCGGACCAGACATCAGTATCAGATGGATCGAAGAATTGAATAACTGTTTAGTTATTTAGGGAGTAATTGTTTTTACTACCTTTTAATGAAACCAAAGACTCCTTTAGCCTTATTAACTATTGAGGAAATATGGTCGGCAAATTTAATTTTAGTGTCTAATACGACGCCGAGATCATTAACCTGAGTTAATTTCTCTACGGCAATCCCATAGAGAGTACACGTATCCTGCAGAGGGCAAGAAAGATAAAAAGACATAAGCTTGCATTTTGATCCATTAAGTATTAAATCATTAGCTAAACACCATTTATGAAAGTTTTCAAGATCAGAGTTTTCAAGTTTTCAAAGACTGCATTGGTTCGGTTTAAAAACCATCGGTTTGAAATCCCTTTCGAAAATCATCTATGGAGCGGTGGAGCGACGTGACGTGAAGCCATGCCGACGTAAAGAAATGATTGAAGCGCAAAGGTGTTGCAAATGAGGAGTAATTAATTTTTCAAATAACTTTGGAATTAACGAAAATTGAGTCTTTTTTTTAGAGAGAAAGAAACGGAGAGAAAAGGGAATAGAGTCCCTTGTTTATGTAAGGGAATTATGAAAGATTCCTTCCTTTTAAGAAGGGACATCTGAGTAACAAGAGCGGAAAAAGAGCGGATTTTCTGGAATTTTTTGTGGCCAAATGAAAAAGTCTACCGAAAATTTGTAAATTACGTTTTATAATATTAAATGCGAAGAACAAAATTAATTTTTTTCGAATAAATCGAAAACAAAAAACCGGCAAGTCTCAAAAAAAAGTGGTTTCGAGAAAAACGCGTTTAAAGTTTTGTCGTACTCTATCTTGGGGTATGTTATTTTTCAGACCCTAAAGAATTTTTCAAGCGAAAAAAAATTTTTAGATTTTTATAAAATGTTACTCAGATGTCCCCCCTTAAGGGAAAAAATCGAGGTTTCCAAAGGTAAATTGAAAAGTCTAAGAAGAAGTTTGCACAGACCCCTGCACAGTATTTTAGCACAAAGCCTGGTACTCCATGAGGGCCTGGCGAATAAATGGGTTTGACCTTTAGAAGATCAGATAATAAGCTATACTCGATGTTATTCGACATTCTCTCGATGTGAATGTTGTATGCGTAAGGATGTTCTGTCATTTTAGGCGAAGAATAAGTTTTTTAAAAAAAATTTTGCGAATAGATCGGCAATGGCCGGATCAGAGGACGCAGATGAAAACGGATTGAATAGAGGAAAAATGATGTCAATATGTGGGCGGAGCGGACGAATGCGGTATATATGAACATGTAATGTATAATGATTTATAATGTATAATTATGTAATGTAATGATTTAGCGGACAAAATGACTTTAATGCAAATAAATTGTTTGTCACCAAACTCTTGTGATTTCACCTCTTCAGAAGCAAATGTGGAGTCTACCGAAATGAGGACTTCACACCCCCCTTCGCAGAGGTCGATCACGTCTAAAAGTGGTGTACTTACTTGGAAAAACTTCGGAGCTAAAGATCTTCGGCATTAGCCATGTTTCTGTAAAAGCTATATTATGGGATGCAAAGAGAGAACTATCAGATTATAGTTTAGGGAGTTTGCTACTTAGCCCCCTAGTATTCTGATAGGTAAGTGTTAGTGACGATACTAGTTTTTTGGGTTAGTGGACGAAGAAGAGGTAAAAGCTCTGCTTTTAGAACTTTTTTTCACGGAACTCTCGCTGGTTTTAAAAGTTTTTTTTCACGGAACTAGACTGATGTTCTTGGACGAAAATGTTACTGGGTGTACAAATCGTCTTGAACATCAGCGCAGGCACACGAATCTTGAAATAAGACGTGCGCCTTTTTAAATTATATTTTAATTAAGCAATGTCCTCCACCTTTAAATCGGCTTTTGTTTTGGCTTTGATATAGGCCGAGATATCAATCTCCGAAGTATCATGGGCAAGTCGAGAAACAAATATATGTTTCAATGGAAGAATCACCTGTAAGGGTTTTGTTATTCGGTGTCGGTAGTCCTAACGGGTGACTCTAACGGAGGTTTCATTTACTAGGACTTGCAAAATGTTCTCAGTTTTAGCCCTAGGGGTGGCCAGAGATATGCGCGACAGCGTTAGTATCGGCTGAGGCGGTTCTCATTTAAGACGAGCTTAAATTCCATTGTAAAAATTAAGAATATAAAAAAAATATACATAAAAAGTTAAGAAACACTATACCTTGAACCACAGTGCCAAATAGAAGCCGAAGCGAGTGTTTTGGAGAGAGCAAAGGAAAGTTGCAGAAATAGAGATAAGACCTATATTGCGAACGAAAGAAAATAAACAAATGACGGAGAAGAAGCAGAGCTGAGCAATGCTTAGAATTGAATTTAAACAAATTATTAATTCGCCTCCAAATATACCGCAGCACACGCGAAGCGATACGGTTTAGGTAAAAACTGAAGTTTCTCAAAAAATTCGATTCTCAAGCAAGTAAACACCGGTTTACCAATATGTATCATAAACGCAGTGTGTGTTATAAAAACACGACCGTTCGTTTAAGAAGAAGAGAGAAGTGAATTTAATATCTAATTCTAATATAATATTCGATATAATAATCTAATTTCTAATATCTAAAAAATACCAATTAAAAACAAGAAAGGAAAGCTAACTTCGGGCGGAGCCGAAGTTTATATACCCTTGCAGTTAAAACCGGATATATATCGCAAACATCGGATATAGTTAGCCGATCCTTATGAGAATATGATAATATAACCCAATTTATTATAATACAGAATCTAAAAAAAAAGTCCCAAACTTCTATCTTCAAAAATACCAAAGTTGGTATTTCTACCAAAAACCATTTCCGATCGTTCAGTTATACGGCAGCTATAAGATATAGTCGACCGATCGTTATGAAGTTTGGTAGGTCGAATTAACTGACCGATACTAAAATCTGTACCAAGTTCCAGTTTTCTATCTTCAAAAACACAAAAGTTGGGTCACTTCCGATCGTTCAGTTGTATGCAGCTATAATATATAGTCGGACGATCCTTATGAAATTCGTCGTGTCGTATTATTCTGCCAAAAATTGCTCTCGTGTATTGAACTCTCTAACTTTAAAAACACCAAAGTTATACCATTTCCGATCAAACAGTTATATGGCAGCTATAGGAAATAGCCGATCCCGGCCGTTCCGACTTATATACTGCGTGCAAAGAAAAGAAGGGTGTGTGCAAAGTTTCAAGTCGATAGCTTTAAAACTGAGAGACTAGTTCAGACAGACAGACGGACCAACGGACAGACGGACATGCTCATATCAACTCAGGAGGTGATCCCGATCAAGATCCTTCGTTGCACACTTTTGCACAAAATTATAATACTATAATCGACTTGAAACTTTGCACACACCCTTCTTTCCTTTGCACGCAGAATATAAGTAGAGCGGCCGGGATCGGCCGACTATATCCTATAGCTGCCATACAACTGAACGATCGGAAATGACCCAACTTTCGTGCTTTTGAAGATAGAAAGCTGAAACTTGGTACAGATTATATTTTTGGTCAGTTAATCCGGCCTACCCAATTTCATAACGATCGGCCGACTATATCCTATAGCTGCCATACAACTGAACGATGGGAAATGGTTTTTGGTAGAAATACCAACTTTGGTATGTTTGAAGATAGGGACTTTTGGGACTTTTTTTAGATTTTGTATTATAATAAATTGGGTTATATTATCATATTCTCATAAGGATCGGCTTACTATATCCGATATTTGCGACATATATCCGGTTTTAACTGCAAGGGTATATAAGCTTCATCTCCGCCCGAAGTTAGCTTTCCTTTCTTGTTTTATGAAGAAATTTAAATAAGTACCCAGAAACATGTACTAAATAACGTCGGTAAAAAATTTTTAATAAATATATTCTATGGTAGAGGTCGGCACGGCCCTATCCCGAGGGCATAGAAAATTTCTCTGCCCGAGCTCTGCCGCACACACAGTGTAAATGTGTGAAACGTCATGCTCACAGCCTACTTTCTGCTATTCGAAACTAACACTCACTAATGCGTTAAAATCATATCAATGTATTGGGGTGCCGACCACTCTCTCTTCAATGGTGTCAAAAAAAATTCTATAAAATTTCATTTTTTTGCGCGGTACAACTGTATATAACCCCTTAAGCGACCTGCAGGTTTGTTTTTTTTTTTGTACACTTGCAATATATCCGATGTCTTGCAGCGCTTTTCTAGCGGTCCATTCACTAACATTCTTGTTGATAGCCAAAGAAGCATCCTTAAGTGTTAGGAGCTTGTTCCTCCTCAT